AAATTTCTGAATTCGATAAAATTTCCAGAAGGTTTCGAGTGCTGTCGCTGATATCGCGGCGACAGTTGTTTAAAACGAGGGTCGTTCGTTTGCACAGCGCATGATGGATCCGAATCGCATATGCGGCAAAAGTGCAGCGGCATTTTTCGCTGAAATTTTTCGTACGTCACGATGATAATTATGCAGCGAGCATATAGGAGCATATGGGGCCCGATGGATTCCGGATTTATTTATCTTTTGCTTCGGGACCGATGGCCGTGCAAATATTCGAAAGTTAAAAAGTGTCTAGTTTTATCTACTTCATTTCTGTGGAAATAGAAATTCAGCGTACTCGGCCGCGCATTGTATTAAGATTTTAGTGGGCCGCGCTTCTCGCGGAAACCGGACTAATTAATGTCCAATTAACGTAGCCTCGCGAATTAACCTTTTCCGCGGGGGTGCAAAGTGTTTTACATCGACGGTGACAAATTTTACACCCTTTATTTCCCGCCGTATATTTCTTCGAGCGGGAAGTCGGTTAATTAACACTTGTTAACGAACGGTTCTACGATTTTTCTTCCGTTCACGCGGTCACAGTCGCTCGGTAGATATTTTAGATCACATATCTTTGCAAACGTAAACATCTGCGGGAGCGTCAAAAGGATTTGTTTCGCGATTAAATGTTTTATAGATTCGACGATTGAAATCTCTTCTTGGGCTCGCAGCTCTCTGGCTCGACAGGGCAAGCAGAAAATAAAGTTACCCGGTGGAAAATAACGGCGAATGATATTTTTAACTTCGTCGTGACTCGATGCAGATTTTAATCTTAGATGAAAGCGTATTTTCATTTCTCCGGGCGGATCTCTTGCACGGCAAACTCCTTCCTCCATTTTTCAGCAAGCGGCGCGGCCCTATATCTCTCTTCGATCCTTTTATTCGGATCCTTTTGCATATTCAACGAGATCGAGTTTCTGAATATTTCAGGTACGGGGCAAAGTGCGAGCTCCCGATCGATCCCCTAAAATCGAGAGCCTCGCGTAAGCACACGCGTTATCTAAATCCCTATGATCTCAAACTCTCGGCGGCTAGCACGCAACAACCGTTATTCGAAAACCCCGTTGAAATCGTATAATTCTTATTTGGAGCATAGGGTCGAGGAAAAATTGTCGATCGATGGAAAACACCGATAGGAAACGACCAAGGGAGAAATGTTCAGACCTTCTCGAAACCTTATAAACTTCCAGAAGGTATCGACGGAATTGCACAATTTTTGCTCCTGAACTCTCTCTCTCTCTCTCTCTCTCTCTCTCTCTCTCTCTCTCTCTCTCTCTCTCTCTCTCTCTGGTCTTTTAGGGGAGAACAAGCCCTAAACTCACGTTACCGTTGCGAGTTTTCTATTTTTCTTTCTACACCGACACGCTCGAAAATATTCGATCACTTGTTTGCTGCAACACGATCTTCCAACAGAAAAATATATCGGTGGATGTTTGAACTTTTTCGCTGTTAAGAGTCGCGGCGAATAAAAATTGCAGTACGGCTATGAAACTTATAACGCACCTTATTTTTATCGCATATACCGCCTCGAGAAAATGTCGAAATGATCGTTCGATAAAGCACGCAAGCTTCCGATGTAATGATATGACATTAAATATCATTATTGTATGCATTATGCGTAAATAGTGTGCGCCGTGCATTCCAGAAGAACTTCATAAAAATATTCTTGCGCTGTCGTCAGACTTTTCAAAAATTTGTCAGTAAATTCTCCCTAATCGACGCTCAGATTCTACACAAATATGGGAAGAAGAGATACGATTGCTCCAGCCTTGCTGCTATAGTCGTATCTCCTCTTTCCAAATTGTCCATTCTTGTGCACAGTCCGGGGGTCAATTAGGGAGAATTCGCTGTATTTTTATTCAGGTTCCGAACTAGCCTGCAAGGTTCAACAAAATTTCTAGTTAGCCCGGAGTTTCTGTAAATAGCAAAAAGTTTCGGAATTTGTGCAGCCAGCTCGGAGTTCGAATTCCAATATTTTTGTCAAAGCCTTCGACCAGCCTTCAAGGTTCAAGCGAATTTCGCGCTAGCCTAAAGTTGGTGTACGGTGGATTTGCAAAAGCGCTGATAGCGTGAATTTCCAATTTCGGAGCCCGACGAACGCGGAACAGAGTAAGATAAAGTGTTTGGTTCGGCGGTGCCAACGAGGAACCCCGCGCTGCAAATGAACGTACCGAATGGTTTTTGCGAGAAAAAAAAGCTCGGTCTAGCGGAGATGGTTTTACAGGGCAGATACGTCCAGGCGAACGGCCGTTTACAATTTACGCGCGCGGACCCATCGCGAAATATCCGTTTCAACCGGTTTCCCTTTGTTAGTATTTCGCGGCGCGCCGTCCCGCGCCACGCCGCCCCGATCCCGTCCCGGCGCAAACAAAAACCCTGTGCTCGGATATGATTGAAAAATTTATAGTGTAATCCTCGGATCGATTTTACGCGGAGCGCAAGGATCGCCGGAGTGCTTTTTCTAGCTCGCCGCACTCCCGCTGCCAACCCGGCGCGCCGACATAAATTATGGTAGCCGGCGAACGTGGCCAATCGCCAGCTCTCGACTCCTGCCGTGCCCAGGTACCACTTCGGGTACCATTCGGGCCATCGTTCGATACCTTAATCCTCGCTCGAAATGTTCGTCCCGAACGCAACAAATGGCACGCTTAGAAAACCGACGCGTCGAGACGTCGTAAATGTCCGCAATTCGTATTGAAATCCCAATTGAATTCGATCGACGACGAACCGAGGTGTTCTGGTGTTCGAGGTGTCCCAAAAATATCTCGCAATTCGAAAGTGGCGGGTTCCTCGGGTCATTCGAAGCAACTTTTTCCTTTACAAAAATTTTTTCCGAGGCACCGTTAACGAGTTATTAACGAAAAACAGTGACCAATGAAAGACGAGCTCTGCTGGCGCGAGGCGACCGAGCCAACGAGCGGTACTGGGCTTCGCGCGCTGGTTGGCTGGGCCCGCCTCGCGCCAGCCGAGCTCGCCTCTCATTGGTCATTGTTTTTCGTTAATAACTCGTTAACGGTGTCTCGGAGAACATTTTTGTAAAGGAAGAAGCTGCTTCGAATGATCCAAGGAATCCGCCATTTCCGGATTGCGAGATATATTTGGGACATCCTGTACAAGTGGAAATGTCTTTTCTCGCTTAGAAATTCCAACGAATCCTTCCGATTCCCTCTTCGCTGAATCGCCCAGCTCAACCGAGCGCGAGATCGACTGATTAAACGGCGATTTTGGAACTCCGAAAGTAGAGTCATCGCAGGGTTAACAGCTCCGCTCGCTAAGAGCTATTAAGGGTTAATGAGTGCCGCTATAGTTCGCTGCAGAAGTAAAAGATCGTCGTCGTAACGGGACAATGGCAGGGTCGCGGGAAGTTTGCGAAGAGTCGCCTAGCGAAATCAATCGTCGCGCCCGAAGGTTACAACTATTCGAGAAATCGTCGCGCCGAAGTCGTGAAAGATATTGCCCGCGAGTGAACAGGCTCGAATATAAGCCCCGACGGTGTATACATATATATCTGCCTTTTATTTCTTAGCAATTTGAAAGATATTGCCGCTGCGAGGTCGCCGCGCTCCGCCGTGGGGATTCCGTCTTGCGTCGGGATGGGACAGGAAAAGACATCGGTCTTCATTGTCGTTGCGAACATTTCATTAGAGGAACGGCGAGCTTCTATCGGGGAGCGTAATAAACGGCCCCTGAACAAACGAATAGATAATATGGGCGATGAAACCGGTGTTGTTGGCGTAGAGCCGAGAAACAATCGCGGCGGATCGCTCGCAAATCCTCCGCAATCGAAACTATCGTTATGTTAGAGCTATTAATTACCATTTCCAATTTCGTATACTATTCGAAAATGTTGCGAGTGCACTCCGAAATTCGGCGGGCACAAATAATCCTCGAAGCTCGACGGCTGCAGTTATCGCTTGCAGCGCTCGAATAAAAATAATTGATTATGAAACAAATTGGACGAGTAATTGGACGCGACCCGGCAAGCTGGTATTTAAAAATAACGTTTGTTAAATGTGGTTCTGAGCTCGCGACCGCAACGCATAATGACCGTTTTTCTTTTTTGCCGATGAAAAATTCGAGAAACGGAGACAGATTATTTTAGGATACAGACGAGCACGGGGGACACAACGTGCGAGGCAATTGGATATATTCGAGGGATATTCACTTTGTTTCATTAAAACATCCTCGATCCTTCATCGAACGCAATATTTCAGTCTCTGCGAGTTCGTTACGTTCTACTCCAATCATCGCGCATTCCGTATGCGCGAGCAATTTGATTTCCCCGGCGCGCACGAGCGAATTAACGTTTGCCGAACCCGTTTTATCAGATTAAAAAAAAAAGAATCAAATTATTAGGAAACAGACCGAGTAATTACGGTTCTTAATTATCGCGTCACCGAGCGATCTTTGTGTCGCAAGCTTCGCTCGCAAGATTTTTATGCGATTATACAGGCATCGGCGGAGAATGCGAAGGCAGAGACGCGTACCCGGCTTTAGGCTAGATCGCCATCGTGTAAATAAATTCGTTCGATCGATAATCTGGACAGGGACAATAGGAACACTCCTAGGGATTAAAACGCCGACGTTTCACCTTTTTCCGACCGATAGAAAAGCTGTGATCCTCGAGACAGAGCGAGGCTATCGGGGTAACCGCATGAACGAGGGTATCCAAACAGCGCCACGCATTGCGGCTTGTAACTGCGAATCCGGCAAACATTTCCAACGTTCGCTGACAGTTCCAAACAGCCAGAAGCTGTATCCCCAAAGTACATACAAACTGCCGGCGACCTGACGTGCCTGATTTTCCTGAGGGGGAAAAAATCGCGAAAGCGTCGATCAATCTAAAAACCACCGGCGGGATCCGTTGCAAATATTTAAGTTTGCTTAACGGACTATGAAAAATCGCCGAGAGTCACTCAGCGAAGGTCCCAGCACGATCCTCTGCCACTTGAACCAGTTTTTTTCAGGCCTGCGTCGCGTCGTCTGGCTCGCGAGAACCGAGAAGCCGAAGAGGACAGGGTCTGCACGGAAAGAGGAGCACGGGTGGATGCTGGCGCATGCTCCTCCTCGAGCGAAACACTGCTCCAGGTGCAACAGGGAATCCATATCGAAACGCAGGTGCGCGGTTCAGCGCGGCCGTTGACGGACTCCGCGAGGTGGCCAGGCGGAGGTCAAGAGTAGGCCAAGAGTGGACCAGGGGTAGGCCAGGAGCAGGGTAGGCCAGGAGGAGACCAGGAGGAGACCGGGTGGACGCCGGCCGTCGGCTCGACGAGAGGCGTCGCGACGCAGCTTCCTCGGGACAGGCGCGAGAACTCTCCCTCCCTCCCGCCCTCCCTCTCGTGGGTGGTCTCTGCCACGGTTGGTAGCACGTGCCGCTGGCAGTCGCGTGTCACTGCTCGCCGGCAGACAGCCGAAAACCCGAGAGCTCCGCCGACTGTCGCCTTTGACCCTCGCGGCCGACCCCGGCTAATTGCCGCCGAGCTTTCCCGCAATCGGCGACGCGAGTGCTGCGAGCGTGGCTGGGAGCGAGGCCGAGAGAGAACCGGAGCGATTGTGAGTTCCGCGAGGGAGTGCGTGAACGTCTTGTGTGAACGGAGGGATGGGACACGTGGGGCGAGGCTGAGAGAAGACGGTTCGACGAGCGGACAGGTGGTTCTTTCAGATCTTCCGAACTTCTTCTTCGTCTTCTTACGTTGTCTTCTGTCGGATTGCTCGCTGTAAATTCGCTGCGATCGACTTGAACCGGGCGCTGATCGCTGTCAGATTTTTAAGGGTTGCTAGAGGGGGATGACTTCTGTGGTGCGAGCATACGAACGATCGTTCGGTTAGGGGAACGTTAGGGTTACGTCTGTGCGGCGTAGGACCCATCGTCGTGGCAAAAGGATCGTTTGACGCGCAAGATTGGACACCGTTGAACAGGTGTGCGAAGATCGAGCATCCTAGAGCTGTGAATAGTTGGATCGCTCTTTTATCTCCGACCGCTTCGAACCGCTTTCGACCATTTGAATTTAATCAACTCGCTGCAATCTCCTTACAAGTTGCTTAGTACCTGCTAACACCGTGCCGAAAGCTTCGAGGAAGTTAGGTGAGGCAGCCTATTCAGCGAATTCGACGAGAATGTGACCTCCGAAGCGGCGAAAAAAAGAGATGGTCACGTGGGATCGAGGCTACTGCCGAGCTGGATAGACGGCCAGGAGGTTTTACCGAGGATTGGACGCTTCGAAACTCCTAGATCGGCTTTAAACCGTCTTAGATCGTCGCAGGCTCGACCCTAATTCCCGCCACCTGGCTAATACCAATGAAAAGTATATATGGAGTCGATGCGGAGAAGATGATCTAGACTTCAAAGTGCTCTCGAACGAGAATAAACAGGCAGCATCGACGGTATCGATCGACGCTCTAGATCGTTTTTTGATCCCGGTCGCCTTTGTATCGTCTCCGACGGATTTGGACTAGGCACTAATTGTTACCACTGCTGCTAACTGATTCTAAGCTGCTTATTATTAGCGAACTAGGCATTGGAAGCGCAAGAGGAAGTTGGGGCAAGCCGTATAAGCAGCGAATTGCCCGTGAATGTGCTCCAACCGGTGAACAAATAAGCCGTTACGTATAAAGTATTTAGCTGTACAAACGGGCGGACCGAGTATCGGCAAATTGGCTCGTTTTTAATCCGCTGTACTAACTACCGACAGATTCTGATAGATTGTTTAATAGTAATAACACGAATGTCGAAGGATAAACGCCAAAGCCTAACGCATTGGACGCGCTTTAAACTGTCCCCTATTTACGGCTAATTGCTGTCACGTTCTAACAGACTGTCCAACGCTCGTTAATTCGGTGCAGAAAACTTAGAAAAAGTAGTTTAAACAGTACATATATATATATACACCTGCCTCCAATTTACTATTAATTGCAGAAAAATTAGAGAAGATTGGAGGAGGCAGTCCTTAGGGTGTGACTTTTCTGAAAGAGCGTATTCGCGCTCGATCCATTTTAATCATCGGAAACGCTCGTTACCATTTACCAACGACTCGACCAAAATTCACGAAACTCGTGTTTCCGTCTTGAAAAAGGTCGCGGGACACTTTCGAGAAGAAAGGTTACGCGGAAGCTTCGGGCGTAACCTTCCGTGCGAACGAAAATCGATCTCGATCGAGTCTATCCGAGGGTTCGGCTCCGCGGCAGATGGTTCGAAGATCGACGGATCGCGTGGATCGGCCAGTCGACAGACAGATGGATTCCGAGGCGAGCAAAGTTTCGAAACTCGTTTCCGGAAGCTATTAAACCCTGATTATAGGAGCGAGCTGCTTCGCTGCGTTCCCGGCGCGCGATTCCTTGCGAACGGGTTCCTCTGGAAAATCCTGGAACCAGCGAGGAGGGTCTTCGGGTCCGAGTGTGTTCGCGTTCGAAGGTTGACGAAGTTCCGCGGAACTTGTCCCCGATATAGTTCCGCCGTCGAATCGCGACAGCAGCCGAGTGCCTTTTGTCTCCCGGCGACCCTGAGGACTTGAACAGTTACCGAAGATCTGTCTCGCGGTTGGGATCTCGGCGTAGCTCGCGCAGCTTTCAGGAACGCTCGGGAACGGGCTCTGCCATTGTCTCGCGTTAACAACGAACTTTAACGCGAAGCGTTTCGGGCTTATGAACATGAATGGAACGAGAGCCGATTCTCTTGAATCCCTTTGGCAGGATCGATACCGGAGGTCGTTGAGCCTTGGACTATCGGCCTGGCGAACCCTTCGCGCAAAGGGCAACGGCTCGGCGAATTAAACCGTCGCTTCTAAATCCTGAAGTTCACCGGTCTGCCCATCCCGGCGCCGTTCGAAGAAGAGCAATAAGGCGGCACGAAGGTTCGCCGTCTTTTTTAGCGACGGTGTTTGCGGACAGAGGCAATCAAGAGCGTCGTTAAGGGCATCGGTCGGATCGAACGTTTCGCTCTTAATCCCCCCGTAGAACTCCTGGACCCTGGCAGAAGGATCCCCTTCTGCGGGGATTAACCGCGACCCTCCTTTGCGGCCAAAGGATCCAAGGGACCCGAGGATCCGCGGTTGGGAGAATCTTCGACCGGATTCGCGAGAAGAATACGCGGAATAATCGCCGAGGCAAATAGATCGTTTGAAAGTCGCCGCAGGTTCGCGTTCGTTCGTTCGTGACGCGAATCCTGCTGCCCTAATTAACGCGTTCTTACGGCCGGCGGTGTTCCGCATGCTGCTGCCGGAGGCTTGTAAACGATAGGGAGAGCCCGGCCCTGAAATCATCGAGGAGAACAGGATTCTAGCGGCCAGGATTAAGACCGTACCCCCGGGGGCCGAGGAAAAATATTGCTGGAAATTGTCGTCGTCTCGGCCGAGGATTTTGCTGTTGTAATTAACGTGGTCCGACGTCCAGCTTCGCGTTGCAGTACCTGCAAACAATGGGTGACAGCTTGGATTTAGGAGTTCATGCTGGAGACAAGGTGTAATCAGCGGAGATTAATGCTTGTACCCGAAACCATCGGAGAGTTGCGTTTGTGCACCGAGGATTTAGAAAAATACCGCTGCAAATTGCTCCGAGGATCTTTCAACCGTCTTGATTAACACCGTCGCGTATCGAGTGGCTTCTTCAAACGTCCGCTTTAACCAGAAGAAATATTATTCGAAGCAGCACTCGTATATCTTTGCGCATCCAAAGGTATCGCGGTGTACCGAGCAGATTCAATTAATATTGCGAGGTCGTTGGGTTGCACCCTCGGCAAACTCGCCCTGATCGATCTCTTCGGTCTAATCAACGGCCAACTTTCGTCCAACAGATCAAGATCCACGGAAAGCCGAGATCAACGGTTCGAAATCAAAACCAACGATCCAACCTCAGGCTCCCAAAACGATTCGAGCTTGGAAGCCGCCCAGGGTCCAGGTAGCCTTCGAACACACCTTTTATAGAGCACACCGACAGGAAGTTCGTCCGCTGTTCCGTTTCTCGATCGCGAAAGTGAAACTGGTTCCGGAAAGGGTTTTGGGTGAAAGAAGGTGACAGTGCGCCGTTCAGTATCGACCAGCGGAAACGATCGGGCCTCGGGATCATGGCCTGGCTGGAGGGCAACGAGACCTCGGACAGTGATAATTACGTGCTGAGGGCGTTGAACCACATCAACAAGCTGATGAACGAGTCGCGCAGCGCCGAGGCGATGATGTGTCTCGAGCTGAACCAACGTGAAAAAATGGAGCGGCTGTCCCTCGGCAGGGACCCGGAAGAGGAGCAACAGGGATGCGAAATTAACTGGGACTCGTTGCTCTGCTGGCCTAGAACGCCGCCGGGAACTCTGGCCACCTTGTCGTGTATCGAGGAGCTGAACGGCATCCGGTACGACAGCACACGTGAGTAACGACATTACGTATGCATGCGGCACGCTGGCTCGTGCATCAGCTTCCTGGAGCATTTTTTCACTCTCTCCTTTTTTCCTTTTTTTTCCTTTTTTCTTTTTTTTTTACTGCTCTTGATTCGGTTCGTTTTGCGCCGAGGTTATTGGTGCCTTCGATGCATGGCACATTTTTATTTTGCATTTTTAATCCTCCGGTGAAGCGACGTTTATTGGGCGGTATTCGCGTTCGAAGTTCGAAGCAGCGATGGAATTCGGGGGGCTGGTTTTGCTCCGAGGGAAATTCTTGGGGTTTTAGTTGTCTCGAGTAATTGTTTATTTTTAATCGAACGAACCGCCGAGTCGGGTATTAACTGCTCGAACTGTAGGAACGTTTTCTAAACATTTTTCCAGGAGATTGTGTTTTTTAAGAATCGTAACAACTGGTGTGATTTTTATCGGCTGCCTCGAATAATGGATCTTTTTCGAATCGCGATGCGGCCAATGAACGTGGTCGGTGAAATGAGTGAAAGAAACGTCTTTAAACGTATTCGAGCAGTTTGGAATGTTGTCTAGGAAGCGGACTGCAGATTTCGTGCAAAACCGTAGTGATGTAGAGAGAATTTTAGAATATCAAGACATGTTCAAATTATTGAAATTATTGACGAAAGGAGGACAATTTCGTCCGGCTCCTGTCTGCTGGAATGGTTGCAACATCCTTTCGGTTTGCATACAAATTTGCGGTCTACCGGTAATTTGCCGAGGAAAAATTCAATTATGTCGAAAGGCACTTCGGCAGTCAAGGGTTAAACATGGTTACTTCTAGTCAGAGGTTTACTTGAAACGATTTTGACGTGGTTCTTGGCACAGCACTTCCCATAGAAAATTGTTACAATCGCTATTTATACAGCGATTTAATATTAACCGCTTCGCTCTCCCTCTGCCGATTGTTCAAGGAAATTTTAAATTAATCGTTTCACCTCTTCGACGAATTTGCAATATTTTACGGCGCATTTGCTTTTCCGATTGTCATCGGCGAAGCGAATCATTACCAACAGCCGTCGCATGAATATAAATTATAAAATCAATTTGCATATTATAATTTCAGAAGCACGGTTATTTTTTTTTACATTGGTATCGATCGTCGAATTGGCAATCGTATTATTTATGTAAAACAGTTTGATATTTCCTTCGTTGCTCTAGCGAAATTTGATACTGATCGTTAGTAAATAATAGCGTTTTGAAATCGATATTAATTAAACAGCAACCACCGGCGCGGCGGCATCGAATAACTAAGTAGTAAACGATCTCGATAGCGACCGCCTCTATTAGGATCGAAATACATAATTATGCGAAACGAACAAAATTTACGCGTCGTTCGACGATTTCATCGAAATAGTTCGTTAATAATCCTGTACATTGTCCGCGGCGGTTGAATAATTTGTATCGTTTCAACCTCGTGAAGAAATAATAAAACGGAAGACGGACTTCCGTCGACGGACAATGGAGGCCATTATTCGAATGGAAAATGAAAATGAATACCGACCCAAGAAAAATTAAACCACGATCATTTAAATTTAAAGCGTCCGTCCAATTTAGTATTTGTTCACGGTGCAAAGAACCTCGAAAAACAATAATGCTTTCAAAGATCGTTTAAAATGTTAATGTTACAAAAATACAATCGCATAAAAATTATACCATGATAAATGTTTAATTACCGGATCAATGATAGTCGGTGAAACAAGCCATCGATGCTCCGGCATGCGGCGATTCGGTGTTGTTAATAGATACCAGATATTTATGAAATATTCGGATTTCGCTGCCCGATGTCCAGCTAATTAAATCCAAATAGGATCGCTAACACATCGATCATCGTTCCACCGCGCAGTAAACAAAAAGATGCTTCGTTATACGTTGTTAAATAGTAATACGGAGTTCGCGAGTGCGTAAAATCCACAGCCAATGGCTACTGCACAATGAGATTAGACTTGTTAGTTCAAGTATTGCAACATTATACACGACGTTCTTGAAGTACCATATAAGCAAATATTTGCCTACGGAGAATAATGCGAGCTCGATGACGAACAACTCACCGGGAACCCGGCCTCGGGGCTGTAAGCTGTAACAGGTTAATTGCACCATCCGCGACCCATTTAAAATTCAATATTTCGTTCTATGGAAACCGTAACCGTGGGGACAAAATATTCATATGCGAATTTCTCGAGTTTTCCGCCGATGAATCTCCAACGAATGCGCGAAACAGAAATCATCGTCTGTGCAGAGTAACTCATTTAACATGGAAATCGCATGGAAATGATATAAAAATTGAGCCTACAAAATATACACCATATTTGATTTAGAAAATCAATTCAATTCCCTTTCTTTCGAAACGATGAACGCTAAATTGAAATTGTCGGAACTCTCGAAACTGTCGGTACCGCGACTTCCAAAAATTGTCGAACTTTGAATCCCTGAAACTTCGGTTACAAAAATCTTACAACATTCTACCTATACTCATTTTAAAGAGAAAAGCTTCCACTTTCGAATGCCCAGGCGGAAAGTATCTAAAAAAATTTTTTTCCAAAGTTATTCAAGCTCGATCATCGACCATTTTTCGGTCACAATTTAATGTTCTCTCGATCCTTCGATTCCATTAGGGAAGTACAGTAAATTCTCCCTAATTTTCCTCCAGTTCTTCCGAAATTGTCCATTTTCGTTCACAAGCTGAAGGGAAATCGGAGAGAATTTACCGTAACACATTACTTCGGCCGAGGCGAATTAAAACCGAAATATTTGTCTAGGACGAAGGAAAATTCGCCGACGCCCACGTTATGGGCTGATTACACATGCAAGTTAATTAATAGTCCGTTTCGCTGAATGTTTCACGCTTCCTGTACTTAAAGGGAATAATACTCGGACTGTAAATGTCATTCGCGTTGCAAGCTGCATCCGTTGTTTGCATTCGAAAACGCGGCTACTGCTTCAAAGGGCTAACACGTTTTCACGGGTTTCATTCGGAAGAATTGCTACAATTGCTGTGTGTACGCGTGACAAATTCAAAATGGCCGCCAAGAGTTTCGAAGTAAAAATAACGCCGAGCTAAATTTCGTCGACGGTCATCGTTGGTAACGAACGCGGACTAAATGCTGAAGCAGCGAGAAAAAAATTTGTAAGGGACCGGAAGAAGATCGCGCCGAATTCTCTAAAGCCAAATTAAGATGGCGTCCAGAAGAACGAGCACGGCGCAACGTAGAAACGATTGCCGGTAAGAATAAAGTCGAGGTTCCCCCGCAATTTTGCCAGGAATGAGAAATGGCGGATCGGTCGAGAAACGGATCTTATTCGCCGTCGAGCGAGACGTTAAAGCGGAGATCCTAAAACGGCGAATTCAATTAAACGATCGGCGGCTTCTCTTCATTTGTTCCCTTCGGAAACCGGATTGCTCTATTTATCGAAAATTCTTGAGGTCGCCGTATCCGACTGGCACGGTTTATCTGGGATCGCGCGATTTCATCTGTCCGCCATGCCGTGAAATTGAAAAACAACCTGGTCGAGAGGATCGTTCGACGAATATCGGCGCTTCGCGAATAAATATCGTTCTTTCGCGCAAACTGCGGCATAGAAACGGATCGTTGAAATTGGGATGCTCGGAATAATGCGACAGAAATACTGGCGTGTCGGCAACGCTCCCAGCTCTTTGTTTATCATTGTTGACAAGATCTTTCTGATCTGCTCCCGTTACGCTCGCTGTTATTACTAGTGCTGTTACGGAGATCAAAGAATGAAACGCGATACATTCATTGGAACATTCGCCGGAGAACGAAGACAAAATGAATTAATTATTATAATGGGTTCGAATCGTTGCGGCTACCGTGTTTGCGATTCTTTTTATCTAGCAGAGACCGTATAAAGTATCGTGGTAAACTACAACGATTGTTTATAGTGTGTTGTAAAATAGGGGAATGGGGTTTCGATGCGGCAAAGATTATTTATATTATAAATTATGAACGCACTGTGAATCTTCGTGCAGGATTCGGATTTGTCGAAACGTTTCAAGGAATCTTGCTATGCCTGGAATAAACTGTGATCGACTCTTAATTAGAATTTCGGTGAATTAATTTCGGCGAGCTCTGTTCATTCAAAATTAGTTTGTCGCATTTAGGATCGACGCGAATAAATTTCCTTGTAAATAACGCGAGATCGATTTTCAAAGATAATCTCCGCGCAAATTCATTTCAGGATCCATACTGTTAAATAGAAATTAATTAATTATATTTAACATGTGTGTGTGTGTGTGTGTGTGTGTGTGTGTGTGTGTGTGTGTGTGTGTGTGTGTGTGTGGAACAAACTGAGATTGGTTTTCAACGATAGTCTCGGTTAAATTAATTTTGCGAGAGCACGTTAGTTCGAAATTAATTTATTATATTTGCGCTACGCGCGCGCACCGAATTTCCTTGCGAGTTATTAGATCGGTTTCAGCGGGTATCTATGCAAATTAATTCTTGAAAGGCGGTATTATAGAAGCAAATTTATATCGAGGTTTCCTGCAAATTTACGAGAGACTGTCTTCGATAGGAATCGGCGCACAGATTAATTTTTGGAAGATGGTATTAGGTAGAAATTCGTGTATAAAGCAGTATAAAGCATAATGTCTGGCCGCACAAATTAATTTTTGGAAGATGGTATTAGGTAGAAATTCGTGTATAAAGCAAATTCGATGTAAGATTTCCTGTAAATTGCGAGATCTTCAAGAAGCATTCGCGCCAAACGATTCGGCACGGTTTCGTCGCGCAGAAATAGATTTCTCCGAATTATTTCGCCTCGTTTTCGAATTGCAGGGGCAATTTTCAATTAGCTAATATTGTCGGAGAAGAAGTATGTATCGGCGGAGAATGGGAACCGCCATTTGTCGCGGTCGGGCCGAGGTGGAAACAGTGAGTAATGGACAGACATAGAAGGTTCGCACGCAATACCGAGTCTCCTTCGAATTTTCCGTGTCGATTTCGCAGACAATGGAGA